TGTTATATTATTAAACCTAAAACAAATTACTTCATTATTAAATTTTAATTAAATTACAATAAAAATTACTAATTTTATACTACTATCGATTTATTATTTTCAAATTTATATTTTATTCAAATATAAAAATATTATCGTTTTCTCAAAAGCATACAAAATCGTATTATGAAATCGACAGAGACAAATAATTAAACGAAACATTAAAAATCAAGATGAATTGAATGCATTATGCAAGTACGCTTCTAGTATGTATGTATATATATAGTACGCTTCTAGTATGTATGTATATATATATATATATATATATATATAGAGTACGCTTCTAGTATGTATGTATGTATGTATGTATGTATGTATGTATGTATGTATGTATGTATGTATATATGTATGTATGTATGTATGTGAGCCTAATCAATTGAGAGCTCATTAAATTGTGATAACCTTGAGAACTTGTGCATCATTTGTTACTTTATATGATCTTTTTCTATCTAGGCATACTATTTAATGTATTGATGTGTGTTTGTTTTATATGTATTCGTTTCACAATGTGAAACCTTTTTACTTGTATTTTGTGTTTCACAAACACGTCAAAAAGGTTCATATCGTGAATCGAGTACATGTGAAACAAACACATTGTAAAACAAATATATGTTTTCATAGTCTTAGATAAAAAAAACTCATATGAAATAACATATGATGCACAAGTTTTCAAGGTTATCACAATTTTATGGGTTCTCAAAAGAAGGTCCCCTTATATATATATATATATATATATATATATAGAGAGAGAGAGAGAGAGAGAGAGAGAGATATGGAGGTTCAAGGGAAAACCTAAAAAAATGAAAAATTGGGGAACATTTTGGTAATTGTTCATCTGGTCGGAATGCACCTGTGCATATTGGTAATTTGAAGTTGTTTCTTGGTTTTTATGCACGTGCACATGTTATGCACATGTGCATACCAGACAAAGTACTTAAAATTACATGTGCATACCGTCCAGATGAACTATTACTATAGTGTTCCTCAGTTTTTCATTTTTTTGTGATTTTCCCTTGAACCTGACTCTATTTGTACATATATATATATACATACATACATATAGCCAAAGGTTATTCTGACAAGTGGTAAATATTTAAGAAATAAAGAACCGATCATAGTCCTTCATACGGCCAAGATCGGATTTGATTGATCAATAATTATGATTTTGACTAATCAATAATTACACCATTGACTGGTCTAAAATTACGGGATATTCAAAAAATAGAGAGGGTAGTTTCATAAATTTTACAAATAAGCGGCAAACGGGTTCGTACATGAAGCTTTGTGATTCACATATGAACTATATGTTCATATGTAAACTCGTGTAATTCACTTATGAATTATTTTAATTGATTCACATATGAAGTCATGTAATTCACATATGAACTAATTAACTAATTCATATATGAATTCTTATGATTCACGTATGAACAAAATAACTGGTTTACATATGAACTCGTGTGATCCATATATGAACATATAGTTCATATGTGTATAATATGGGTTCACATATGAACCCGTTTGCCGCTTATGTAAAAATTACGAAACTATCCCTCTATCTTCCACGTACCCATGCAAGAAATTATCTGGTGCTTCACGGTCAAAGCCGCAAAGCCGCAAACGGTTCTCGATTCCGTCTTCTAAATAATGTTAGAAGAACATTTTATTTAAGTGAAGTTTAAATATCTATGTTGTTTTGATTTGAAATATTTTTAATAAAATATATAGTATGAACTATTACTTAAGTCGAGCTATAGTTTTAATATAAATATAACAAGAATTTCAAAAAGATTAAAACGAGCTTCTTTTTTGAACGACCAATTTATAAAAACAGGACCAGCCAGCGGCTAGACCGACGAGAACAAGGAAACAGCTACACCATGTCCGGGTTACAAGACCACCTATTCCAATCTAACTTGCCATAATCCTTACTTCTATTACAAAGCCAATAGTACACAGAGAACTGAATATCGTTAGCCACACGGTAAGAATTGAAAGGCACACCTTTGAAAATTTCAGCATTTCGACCGTTCCAAATCGACCAACAGTACGCAGCAAGCGGCATCTCTTTGAAGTCCGGTTTGGATTTCGACTTATGGGAGTCTAAGTTGTAGAAAGCCTCACCCACCGACTCGYTCCCGTCCAAATCAATAGCACCTTTGCACCATTTGTTAATAGCCTCCCTCACCACTCTTGTCTTCTTGCAACCCATAAAAATGTGGTTTACATCTTCCGCTTCCTCTTTACAGAGAATACATTTATTGTTATCCACCGTAATACCTCTCTTGACAAGATTATCTAAAGTAGGAAGTTTGTCCCGACAAGTTCTCCATATATGAATCTGAACCTTAGTCGAAATGAGCTTATTCCAACTTGTAGGGTGGTTGTCCTTTCTGAGATACTTTGAATCGATCAAAGCTCTCATCCCCGTAACCGAGAGGGCCCCCGTGTCGTCCAGAGTGCAAATCTATCGGTCTTCCTTGTTGCTGAGATTAGTTCCGTAACACGTCTGCTCCAAATCCGATACGTCCTGGATTTCTCGAGTCCTTGATGGATTTCTGCTCCAGTCCCAATTGAAAGCGATGTCGTCCATGGTCTTCGTTAATCTGTCCCCTACGTAACAATCACCGGACCTATCCATAGCAGCTAGGCGTGGGAATCTGTCCTTAAGAACTGTATTTCCACACCAAATATCCGTCCAAAATTTGGTACTCTTTCCATCTCCAATACACCTTTGGAAGATATTAGACAAATCAATATTGACAAAGTTAAATTGACAATTCAAGGTGGAAATCCTTCCCCAGACACCGCCTTCTTTGGCGATACCAAGTTTCCCGGACACTCCGTGAATGGCCGTGATCACCCCTTTCCATAGCGAATTTTCTTTGTTTTTGAATCTCCACCACCATTTCGCAAGAAGAGCCATATTGAGCGCTTTAAGGTTGCCAATCCCGAGACCTCCATTATCGAAGCTATTTAAAGTTTGATTCCAAGCCACCCAGCAGATTTTGTTGTTGTTCTCTTTGTGCCCACAAAAGAATTGTCTTCTTATCCTCTTGAGGGTTGCTATCACCGAAGATGGGGCTTTAAATAACAATAACCAGTACACCCCAAGGCCACCTAAGACCGCTTTACATAGGGTGCGACGACCTCTGATAAAAAGCAAATAATGTTTCCAGTCACCGAGCTTTTTCTTAAAACGATCAATAAGAGGGGACCAGACAGCCGCGGTATGAGACGAAGCGTCGATAGGCAAACCAAGATACATAAACGAGAGAGATCCTGCCTTACATCCTTTAGTCCTGGCCATATTGGCAATCGTGGAGGAAGAGACTCCAACTCTAGTCAGGACGCTTTTAGTCCAATTTATCTTCAGACTAGACGCCCGATAGTAACACCTAAAGACTTTTAGAAGGTAATTGAAGTTTCTGTCTCCCCAGGTCCCCATGAACAGAGCATCGTCGGCATAGTGCAGGCATGAGATCTCTGGGCCTTGATTGTGAAATTTGATGCCTTTGAAGAATCCTTGTGCAATCGCTTCTTTGATCGCCGCGATGAGACCTTCTATAGCGAGAATGAAAAGATATGGGGATAAAGGATCCCCTTGCCGAACGCCTTTCTCAGTAGGAAAATTGGTTGTGGGCGACCCGTTGACAAGAACCGATACTTTAACCGAGGTGATCATACCTTTAATCCAACTGATCCAAGTATCTCCGAAATTCATTTGCTCCATAATATGGAAAAGGAATTTCCAATTAAGATTATCAAAGCCTTTTCAAAATCAACCTTGAACAAAAATATCTCCTTTTTCGAGCGTTTAGCCCAGGATATAATTTCATTGACAATTAGGGGCCCATCCATTATGTTCCTACCTTTAACGAAGCAGATTGTTCTTTACTGATCACTGACCCAATAACAAGTTTAAGCCGGTTGGCTAGCACCTTTGCTAATACTCCCCATGAGGTGTATAGGTCTGAACTCCGAGAGACACAACGGGTCTTTAGACTTAGGCATGAGTGCAATAAATGAGTCATTACATCCCCGAATGGCATGAGGGTCTTTCTCAAAGTGGTTGATCGCCTTCATGAAATCTGGACTAATAAGCTCCCAGAAATGTTTTATAAAAGCAAAGGAGAAGCCATCCGGCCCGGGAGCTTTGTCCCCACCACAATCCCAAACCGCCGCTTTGACTTCCTCCGCCGATATCGAAGCTTCGACCCAGTCTTTTTTATTCGAAGATAGTCTTTTGATGAGAGAACTATATAAGGAAGGTCTCAAGGAAGAAGTTTCGCTGAACTTATCTTTGAAAAAAGCTTCCGTTGCATTTTTTATTTTCCTCGGATTAGACTCCCAAACACCATTAACCAACAAACCATGAATGGAATTCTTTCTTTTCTTAGAGTTCAACACTGAATGAAAGCATTTAGAGTTCTCATCCCCTTCGCGAATCCACTTGCATTTAGCCTTTTGACAAAGATCTTCAATTTTCGCTTCATCCATCTCCCGCAGTGTATGTAAAAGATCACCTCTTTCTTTCATAGTGTTGTTGATATTAACACCTTTGTCAATGTTGCCATCCAGAGTGTTAAGCTGAGCAATAATCACTTTGTGCGCCCCATTTCTTTCTTTATTGATCTTATTTCTCCACTCCTTAATTTGAAGTTTGAGGAGCTTGAATTTCAGGCCAAGAATGTCGATGGGGGACGACGGGTGACGAACAGTCAAAGAGGAATCCCAACACGACGCAACTATGTCCTTTAAAGACGCCTCCTTTATCCAAGAATTGTAGAACTTGAAAGGAGATGGACCAAAGTCCTCAGCTCCACACCTCAAGATAAGCATACAATGATCAGAGAATCTCCTTGCTATAGCCCTACAACAAATGTTCGGCCAAAGAGAAGCAAAATAATTATTAAATAAGAAGCGATCCAGTTTACATCCCTTCTGTCCGTCCGCATTGTACCAGGTGAATTTCCTACCGCCCAACGAAGGTTCAATCAAAGCGTTAACCCGGATAAAATCATTAAACGCCGCCGTCCCATAGGGGGAAAATCTCGAGCCCTTCCGTTCGCAACTGTACCAGACTTCATTAAAGTCTCCACCAAGAACCCAACAAATTTCAGGTTGCTCACAAATGACTGAAGAAATTTCGTTCCAAAGACTCTTTCTATCAGCCGCCGAACTAGGAGCATAAACGTTTATAAAACCGCAAACTTTCCCCGTCGGGGACCATTTACCAACCACAACGGCATAATTCCGGCTCGTAATGAACCGATCTTTCACAAAAAAGAGGGATCCCAGATGATACACAGACTTCCAGATCGCCCTATCGTAGGTGAAGAACCAAAATCGTATAATTTCGAGCCCCAAAGATCAGATATCAAGGTTTGCTCTAAGTCTTGAACATGAGTTTCTTGCAGTAAAATAACCTTGCAATTATAATCCTTACAGATCTCCTTAACCTAAAAACGTTTAAGCCTCTCCCCTAACCCAAAAACATTTAAGCCTCTCCCCTAACCCGTTAATGTTCAGAGATAAAAAATTAAACATCATCATAAGGAATCTCCTTTCCAGACCCATTACTAAGGTCATTCGATTCCGAGGCTGGCCTAAAACCAATAGTATTGCCCAAAATATCCGATGAAACAGAGTCGGATATGTCTGGCAAATTAGTCACACCGAAATCAATATCTCTGTTATTAGAAACATACCTCTTCCAATTTCGACAGTTTGACAGCTGAATGAAAGCTTCTTCATCAGGGGAATCCACGCCATTTCTTCTAGTGAGAACAAGACGGTGTCACACCGGAATAAGTCAATAAGTTGTTTTTATAAGCAATTCCAAACACCCCTTAAATTGCTTCTTATCAAAAAGAACATGAAAAGAACATCATTTCAAAAAAGAGGAATTTTTGGGACGGGTACGACTCCATTACAAACACGTTACCTTGGAATTTTTCTAGAAGCTAATCTTAAGATTTTGACACTAAACAAGAATTTACCATGGTACATTGTTGATCTTGACTTTTCATGTTATATTTTATTAGTTGATATCTTACCAATATATTTGGCTTGACTTTGTAAAAAAGAGTATTAAATGAAGAAATTGTTCTTATTTTTGTGTATTTCATGTTGAGGCCAAAGATTGAGTATAGTAAAACAATGTGGCTATCCCTCAAAATGACATGATGAAGATCCTTATCAACGAATAAAGAACATAGATTTTAAATCTAAAGCTTGGAGTTTCAGTGGCAAAAGTGTAGTAAAATCTTGCTATGACATAATATGAGGTTGTTGCAGCAATAATTCTCAACATCCACTATTGGATCAAACGCCATTCTTTTGAAGTTTACATTAGAGCCTCACTAGCAGTGTTCCGATCAATAGAAACTATGGTACATACCTTACCTTTATTTCGATATAATTTGCAACCTAAGAAGGTTGATGCAGCTCTTTATAGTCATCTGCAACACTCAAAGTCTTATATTTATGTCGTCCTAATATTAAGTCTAACTCATCTAAATGAAACATGTGTCAATTTGTTAAAATTTACTTAGATGAAACATTGGAACAAAGAGTAAACAGTGGAGTTGATTGTTATGGCAAGAACAATTATCCACAAACACTTAGGTTTAATCTCTCAACCTTCACTCACACTCAAGCTAAGATGTTAAGCCCGTCATCACTGGAAAAAGTAAAGACATGGAGCTAAAGTGCGTGAAATGTAAAGTTGCAAGAATTGTAAAGGTGTTGAAAATGTGAAGTGCTAAAAATATAAAGATGCTAGAAAATATAAAGTGTTTGAAGTGTAAATGTATTGAAAATTAACACTTCTTACATTTGCATTGTTGGTGGTAATAGGTGTTATAAACATTTTGTTGTGACCTATCTACACATTTGCGTTAGTACTTTAAAAGTGTAAGTAAAAGCTTCAAGTCCTAGCCAATCTCTCTTATACAAGTGGCCCTGTTTCCTTTCAACACATATGTATAAACGGTTACTTCCACCTTTACACGTGGAGATGGTTGATTGGTGAATGCTTTGACTTTTCCACAAGTTGCCTATAAATAGGTGATTTCTCCAGGGTTTTCCTTACCACTTGAAGACGTACTTTTTAGCAAAAATTTGTGAGATAAAGTTTTGTACTTGAGAGGAATAGTTTTAGAGAGATTATACTTTACATGGTACAATGTGTTCTTGGTGTAAACGCTTATTCTCTAAAACCTTTGAAATACATTTGATTATGAAAGTTCCCCAAATAGTATTTGATTTTCATTACTATTTACTTGTCGTATTTCTTTAACCTATTAGTATTAATGCTTATTTGCTTCTGCTCATTTATTTGTTCCTTGTATTAATTACTAGTGCAAATGAGGATCTGGGTTCCTACAATTGGTATCAAAGCCATTTAATCAATCTATTGGT